TTTACTTTTTAAGATTTGAAAGATCTTGGCAAGCACTTAAACAAGTTTCTGCAAACATACATTGTCATAGATCTTACTCAGGTTTTCTCAAGGAATGAGAAAGCTAGAAAACGATTTCACAATCTACATCTGCTTGGAGAAGCCTTTCTGGTTTAGAATCTCTGAGAGAAGGACCTTCTAGAAAATTATTTGACAAGATAGAAGGGGATCTCTTTTCTTTTTTGTTCATTGTAGTAATTTCCAATATTCCAGCCAACGTTCGATGAGCACTGACTAGAATCAACATTTGTATAGCAAGGAGTCCAAAACCCTCATTCATCAAATCGCCGCGACGATATCCATGACGTTTCAGCTCATAACTTTGATAAAATTCATTATTTAGTCACTATGATTCTGTTTTACGATCCTAATACAATGAGTTGAAGCTAATTTTAACTAGAACTTAATAATAGCTCTGATTCTTCCAACTCTGGTCGAAAGAATAAAGTCAAAAAAAAGAAGCTCGAAAATTGAGCTGAAGACTTCTAAATATTTTCTCGTTTATAAAGTCAAAAAAACCAAACAGCTTAGTTCGAATTGTATGATTATTATATTAAAAAAAGGAAAAATAAAAAATTAGCAAAATACTTTGAAACATTAGTTTATCGATCTTAAATAATGTTATTATTGTACAATCATAGCTTTTTTTTTTACTATGATTCAAAAAACAAACTGTTGAGAAAATCAGATGCTGTAAAGAAATAATTATTCTATTGATTATACGTGTTTATTCGACATTCTACTGCTGTTTTTTATCGGTTTACTATTTCGATGAAGATGTAAGTGTGGGTTTAGATGAAGAGTACAGTGGCACCCACACTGCTTATCCATACTACTACTCGCTTACATCCACGCCCATATTTAGTGTTTTCAACGTTTTCAGATTTTGATATTTTTACTTTCGACCAAATTTCAGTTTACTATAGCTTCAAACCCATTCTTTTCAAATTATGGATCAAGACCATAGATCCCTATGTTTTTTTGTGGAGAGCTCCCTTATGATTGGCATCCATATTTTCAGCATTGCAAAAGTAGAGCCTGTCAGATTCCATAGATCCCCAAGAAAAACTGTCAATTTTACTCACAGTGGGGGCGTTTGTACTGTTCATGAGAAAAATGGGATATATTCAGGTCAAATTAAAGTTCCCATCGCCAAACTAACGAGGTTGCAATATAGGCTATCTCTTGGCTTGCCTAGATGGACCACCAAATGATGCATCAATGCATTTCAAATTCAATTATTCATTGTATAAGCCATGTTTCAAACACATCATATATCTTTTTTACATTTTGATACTATTTAAGCTTCAGAAGACATCGAAGTTAATGTGATCTTAATAACATTGATATATTTAACAAAGATTCTTGAAGCCTAATATTAAAATATTGAGTTAATTGTATAAAAAAATTAATGTAAATTATCCTTATAGTTTTATACACTCAAACAATGACTACCGTAAAAATCTAATATCTTCCTCTAGACAAGTCAAGGGACAGTCTATATTTTAACTTCGTTAGTTTGTCAATAAGAACTTTAATTTAAGCGCCCCCGCTTAGCAAACTCGATTTTTCGAAGAAAAACCAAAATTGAGTTTTTTACATGGGAAGATGCGCCGAAGCTTCCTCTTTCCGAATATATGTAACTTTTTGCAAATGATCAGCTTTTCACGGACTTATCGATGAAACTTCGACCCTACTACCATGTTTTTTGAGGAAGGTGTGGCAAACTATGGACATAGCATTTTAAACAATTTCGACCTAATTTTATTATCCTGAGAATCAATATTCTTCTCTGATTATTTTTTACAAGTTTTTTTTGCATTTTATCACAACTCAATTTTTTAACCCCCGAGGCCCCCTCAGGCTTCGAAAAAAATTTTTTTCGGTATTCCATCAGAAGTCTTTCTAGTTCCATAATGCTATGTGTGCTGATTACAAATATCATATTATTTCAAAAGTGCTTCAATAATAAAAAAGATCTGAAGTACTCCTTGGAAACCGTAAAAACCAGTTTTAGACCTGAAAGTCCATCAAAATCCGAGCTAAGCTGGTCGAAAATAAGCTTATTTCATAGAGAATTTCAATCTCTCTCAAAATTTATAAGAACATCTTAGACATCCAAGCTTTTTACCATCGATAAATGCCAAACACCGCTCCAATTGGGTCATTTTGGCACAAATAATGATTTTTCCAGTCTTTCGAAGTTATTGTTTTTCACAGTGCACCAGCTTGATCTTTTCACTGAATACGTAATTCAATATGATCTTTCTGGTGACGCCATTTTCAGTTTGAAATTTAATGTCTTAAGAATCACTTTTGCTTCCACTACTGTGGTGGACATTCAGCTTGCCTCTTTTTAGACAGTTTTCGAGTAGAAAGTACTTAGTTTATCCTTAAAAAATGTCATATTTCAAATCAGCACAAAAAATTGAGTCAATTCGTATGTATTTCGAGCTATTTCTATGACTTCCATTTTTCTGTCAATTTTGGCCTCCTGGTTTCCCTTAGGGATAGTCAAAAAATGAACTTCATGAAAAAATAGTTCCGGCAATGGAAAAGCAATTCCAGACTTGTAAAATGCTACTTTTAGAGAAATTGCGACCGGCTTAGTTCGACTTTTGATGGACTTTCAGGTCCAAAACTGGTTTTAATGGCTTCCACAGCACTGTGGAACTAGAAAGACTTCTGATGGAATACCGAAAAAAATTTTTTTTCGAAGCCTGAGAGTAAGAGAAGAAGTCAAAAAATTGAGTTGTGATAAAATGCAAAAAAAACTTGTTAAAAATAATCAGAGAAGAATGCTGATTCTCAGGACAATAAAATTAGGCCGAAATTGTTTAAGATGTTATGTCCATAGTTTGGCACCTCCTTTCTCGAAAAAGACAGTAAATATCATAAAAAGCTTATAGATGGTGTTAATTGATTTCACTCGTTATATAATCGGAAAGATTCTACCCAAAAATACCGTAGATAGATCATTTTCGTCAGTTTTTATCTAGTTTTATCGAGTTTAAATTAAAAAACTGATTTCTAAACTTATTTATCTTTTTTTCAAAACACGCTTTTTAGTAAGAAAAATTGAAACTCATCTCATATGCTTCATGGCAGAACCGATATTTTTTTATTATCGAGAGGATGGGTATTTTAGCCTATTTTTGTGACCCCTAGTCTATTAAAATATTCATATTACACGAACAGAGGCAAATTTTAAAATTTTGTTCGAACAAAAGTTGGGTATTGCTGTTGACTTTTATTTGAAACGACTCCGAGTTCTATACCTCTCATAATAGCAGAGCCCTAGGGACTCTGCTCTAGTTGGACGTATGCAGCTGAAACTTTTAGCCGAGACGTTTCTCACTAGGGTTACACATTTCTGAAAATTTTAGCTCGAACAGACCTTGTTAAGTGGAACATCGATTTTGAGGGGGAGGGGGAGGTCTCTTAAGGGGACCCCCCCTTTCCGGCGTTTTTAAGAAACGGCCGAACAAAAATTCCTGAAACTTGCAGGGTAGATAGACCTCGAGTAGTAGAGCAAAAGTTGTCATAGACACAAATTTGTCAGACGTCATCTTCATGGACTTCCAGAGACCCCAAGGTCAAAAACTTGCAAAAAGTTTTCACCCCCCCAAATCCACAAATTTCATCCGTTTGAGCTGAAATTTTTGCTGTGGGTAGACGGACCCAATCGGGGTGGGCGTTTTTTTTTTTTCAAAAATTCCAAATACTTCAGGCTGGAGAACCAAAATACTGAGCACCTTGCAAAATCTCTAGGTTTTTTGGATCCTAAAAATTTTGCGAAGCCTGCCAAACTTGATTGGTAGAAGGTATCCAAAAAAAAAAAAAAACGCCCAACCCAAATCACTTGAAGTCTCACCAAAATAATTTTCAGCCCGATCGGACTTGAAATGGCGGAGAAAAAGGGGGAAAACTTCATTTTTTTGCTGAAAAAACTGATTTTGAGAAAAACGCAAAGAAATTTGTGTTTTTTTGGTTTTTTCAGCATATTTTGTGATTTTTTTCGAATTTTTTATATATAAGATGTGGTTTTTCAGTTCTCAAAATGTACTCAATGGATAGAGGGCATTCAAATCTATATACTAATCACAAAAAATGAAAAATGAAAAATGTGAAAATTTTGAGTCGGGAAAGGGGGGGGTCCCCTTAACTCGAATATATCCCATTTTTCTCACGGATGGTACAAACACCTCCATTGTTAGTTTCGCAAGCACGTTAGTCCAACAATAGGATCTGGCCAAGAGTGTATCAGCATAGCCATTCGAACAGCTTGAAACTAGTTCGCTACTATCTAGTGAAATCTCACTGGCATCCTCAATCAGGAATTTTGTCCTATCACGTATAAAGCATCCTCAAAGATGCATATTGAATCCTTAAGATTCTACAAAAACATAGAAATTATATCTTCGCAGGATTTTCTTAGTTTAGAAGTTTTACATAGTTCATTATTTTATTACTTAAATTCTTGTATGATGCTCATATAAATAAATATGAAATTAGCATTACTCTTCCTCGGAAAAATATCCTTACAGCAATCTCCAGGTGTAGTTTTTAGGATCAAAAAGATCTTGGCAAAAACTAAAAGTGATATAGATGTAAGAATCACTATGAAATCCTTCTTTTCTATACGGAATTAGGGAAAGACTTCTGAATTTTTATCTGCGGAATGAGCATTATCGGAGATGAATGTCGTATTTGTGGCGCTTGCTCCCACAAGAGACAGAATCTCTTCGATAACGGCGATTCCTTTTCTTTTTTTGTTCATTGTAGTAATTCCTAATATTCCAGTTGATGCCCGATGGGAACAGAATGGAGTGACTGTTGCTGGAGAGCATGGACAAGGCGATGCCACCAATCAACTAAACCACCCTTATGGCCTCTTCATTGGTGATGATCAAACGATTGTCATCGCCGACACGTACAATCATCGTATAATCCAATGGAAGATGGGTGATACGAATGGACAAGTAGTAGCTGGTGGCAATGGCCAAGGAAATCGATTGAATCAATTAAATCCACCAAGCGATGTATTGATCGACAAAGAGACGGATAGTTCCATTATTTGTGATCGAGGAAATCGACGAGTCGTACGATGGTCTCGTCGTAGTAGTACAACTCAAGGAGAAATCCTCATCGACAACATCTATTGTTGTGGATTGACCATGGATAATCAGAGATATCTCTACATCTCTGACACCGGCCAACATGAAGTAAGACGATATCAAATAGGAGACAAGAATGGAACTATCGTGGCTGGTGGCAATGGCGAAGGTGCTGGTCTCAATCAACTCAACTGGCCGACCTACGTCTTTGTCGATCAACAACAGACTGTCTACGTGTCAGACAATAGAAATCGTGTAATGAAATGGAATAAAGGTGCAAAAGAAGGAATTGTCGTCGCTGGGGGTCAAGGCGAAGGAAATGCTCCGACACAATTGTCACATCCTCACGGACTGTTCGTCGATACATTGGGTACCATCTATGTGACAGATTCAGCGAATCATCGAGTGATGCGTTGGCCTAAAGGAGAGAAAAAGGGGACTGTCATTGCGGGTGGAAATGGCTCAGGAGCAGGAGCAAATCAGTTGAGCCATCCCATGGGTTTGTCCTTCGATCGTCATGGCAATCTCTATGTCGTCGACGAGTATAACAATCGTGTTCAACGTTTTTCAATCGAATAGACTCGTTACGATGGATTAATTCTTTTCTTTCCTTTCTCTCAAATAAATCGCATTGAATTGATGAAATGAATGGTTTATTCTATTCGCGCGCGCGCGACTAGGAACCATCCTGGTGAAGCCGTGGCGAACGTAACGCTCATGCACGCACGGGACAGACTCATATCATTCACATCCCTCCCACTCGAGAGATATGTCAATGAGTCTGGGTAAGCTCGGTCGTGTGCCACGGATACCAAGATAGTTCCTGGCTGGGTTTTTCTGGCCTACCTGCAAGGCCTGTAAATAATACGAGTCTGGTCTCAATGGACCCGATTCATCCCTTCCCCCACTGTCACTTAATATGCTTAGTCTCACCCTAACTCCACTTAAACTCATTGTTACTACTTATTCTCAATTTCCATCTCTCCCTTATTCTCTTCTCAAAGAGGAAAAAAATAGCGGTGTGGGTGGAGTGTGTGTGAAGTATGGCTGTGGGCGTGGGTGTGGTGGGTGCGAATGTGAATGTGAGTTTGGATGCATGGGTGTAGGGTTTGAGTACCGGTATAGATGTAGGTGAGGATGGGTGAGGTGGCTGGAGTGTGTGGATGTGAACTTTTTTCTCCCCCACACTCGCACCCATCCACACCGCACACCCATACTCACACCCATACTCACACCCACACCCAAACGCCCACACCTTCACACCCACACCCACCCACAACCCACACCCACACGCACCCACACCTTCACACCCACACCCACACCCACACCCACCCACAACAATATGATTCATCTTGATTTTTATCAAAAACTTACAAATCACATTCAGATATAATAACATCTGTTTAATCTATTAGTTAAAAAATAACGAAAAAATGAAATGTATTAAATTGAATATGTTTTTCACTAATATTCAGTATTATTGCAACGTTCAGTGTCGTACAAATAATCGAGTAATATTATCTAAAACATAGAAAAAACGTTTAATTAATATCAAAGAAATTTTCTGAAATAAAAAAAGTTACTAGCTTGTTATTAACATTTCTTTTATTGCGATGTTGTGCCCCTTTATTTATCCTGTTTTTCTGACGATTGAGGCGATGATTATTCGTATTTTTTTTTATACAGGACTATAAAAATAAAAATGATATGATTAAAAAGAATTCATTATTTATTCTTATCATATATGCAGCAAAATCATTTAAATTTTAGTGAAAATGCCTAATTGACTTTAAGACAATATATCTATGATTTTAGTTCTTATAATAGCAGCAAGCGAGATAGAGTGTATGTCCTAAATTGGAACGGAGTTTTTATACCTTCGTATTTGCACTCTAATATCTCAGCGAAAATATAAGCAAAGGAACTCAAACTTAGTGGCCGAGTAGGCACATATCTTTTCTGTGTACCCATGAAAAAAGTTTTCAAAAAATTGAGAAATAATCTAGTTATAAGCGGTAGAATGTACTTGATTGATTCCGTTCTAAATAAGAACACTGTTCTCAATAAGAACACTCGTGCAAAAATTGTCTCAAATTGTACGGAAAATGTGGTTTTTCAAAAATTCAACGGCAGCACAGATTGTGTCAAAGGAATATTTTATATCATCAACGTTCAATATAATATCATTCTTCTCTTCCTCTTAATAATCATCACTGCAATCATCCTATCTATCGAAATCAAATGTTACAATATGGCTGACTAACAATTCTGTTGAAGTTAATTGTTGGTTAAACAACAGAAATAATTGATACGCCAGTTCGTAATCTTTGAACGGTGATTCGGTTTGAGTAGTTTCTGAATATTTCTGACGCATTAGATTGTTAAGCATATAAAGAATATTGTTAACATTTATCATATTTGTGTTAAAAATATTGTAATATAGAGAGAACAAACAAACACACGAATACAAGAGAGATGGATATCAGAAAAACAAAGAATTAGTGATTAGAGAGACCTAGCGAAGAAATCATGAATATACAGAGATACGGAATTTATATAGTTAATATACGAGATGTCGGGTGACATAAAGAGAGCATGGAGAACACAAATCGAACGAGATACATAACATCTAGAGAGCAAATGCACTAGAATTATTAAAAACTATTAAGAAAAATCTGTACAGCGAAACTTATGTGTCAAATTTTTGAAAACTGTTTCGCCTACAATTTTTTACTAAGGAAGCAAGAACACCTAGTTGCTTCACACCTGAGATAGGTCGACCTTACTTAACAATGCTACATCATTTTTATTGAAATCGGCGGGACGCATCTGGGGAACCTTCCTTTGTAAGGTACTTCAGGCAATTCAAAAGTAGTGAGAGTGACACTTTGATGCCACATAGTAGGTTTTGAAAACCTTTCTTTTCATATGAAACGATAGAAAAAACAACGCTCTTTCTTTCTATACTATTTTATCATTCTTCATATAATAACATGATATTAAAATCCTCGTGATATATGTCTACCTATAAAATATAAGGATCTAATTCATCTATGTTATCCTCCATATGCACTTTCGTCTCAATATTTTCTTTGTTTTCTTTTCCTCTCTATTCTTTATTATTTATTCTTATCTCTTTTAATGCTTAACTCTTCATATATATATGGGCGTACTGCGCCATCGGATGCCCTGATTCTTAAGTGTTTATTTAGCTTCACTCAATTGCCAGAAAAATGTGATTTTTTTATCAATTATAGTACACGTATAACGCTAATGATCTGCTATTGTTTGAACTCTACATATCACTAAAACCGAGAATTATCGAATATTTCTATATAACCATTTTGTTCAAGTATTACGCATCTTGTTTGTTAACATAGACCAACTCTTACCTGGTAAATTAAAACATCTTCAAGTATTTGCAACATAGTTTATTGTCAAATAGTTAATAAAGAAACAGAACTACCTTATTATGCTCTATGTTTACGAATAGGATGTTTACTAAAATTCAGATTACATAGAGCTGAAACAATTTGCGCGATTTTAGTTATTCTATGAAGATCATCAATAGCTCCTCTGTAAATATCGCCCAGAATTGCACAAGGTTTAAGACATCGATTAATGTTTTCAATAGTGGCACTGGCACTATTAATATATCGATTGAAATTCTTATCTTCATCTGTTAAGTCACGTCCATGAGGTCTCTTTTTTGGAGTACTTACGTATTCTTCACCAATGTATCCCTTGCCAGTAATTATTTGCAGAGTTGTTTACATATTCTAAAAGTCCTGATTTTCTCAGAATTGTAATATCATATACATTTCCATTATAACATTCGGATACATGGACTATTTGATGATGAAAATCACACGCTATTTGTATTTTTAATGCATAACTTGTTGGAATTTTTGCATGATAATATATTTTGCGTTGTTCTAAATTGAGTAGCTGTCTAATTCGATTTCGAATATAAGTGAAAATTACAAAAAACCATATTCTCAACATATTAGGAAGAAAAGAAAAAAAAATATTTCTGATTTATAAACTTTAGAAATTTATAAATGGAATAAAGCACGCATGTTAGTTTTTGAACTAATTGTGAAGATTTGGGATTGAAATGCGCTTGTTATGCTTACTTGAAAAAGTGGAAATACTTTACGGTGCGTTGCTTTTGATCAAACTGTCTAGGAAATATGATCTTTTGGGGCGCTCAGAAACTGACGGTTGACCCTGTAGTTGCCCTCTTTTTGGTGCCTAGGACGCGGCGATGAGTTAGCTTTGATGTCTTTATTTATTTGCATAAATGGAAAGTTGTCCTAAACGATAAAGATCATTGGTAAATCGAGCAATATTATTTCCTCGACTGTAGAAAAGATCAAATGCAACGAAATTAAAATGCGAAAGTATATATATATATATATGTTGGGGACAAAGGCAAAAGGTGAAAAAAAATATTCGCGTTGTGCACTCTAAAATAAATCCGTATCTGAGAAAACCGAAACGAGTTCGGAAACCCATTGAAAAATCTTTTCGCTTGGGTTATCCAGAACACTAATTTGAACACTCTAAAAGTATTTCTGGATACCCTTGTCACATATTCGAAATCCTAAATCGTATGTCAGAAAACCTAAAAGGCATTTTACGAAACCCATATAGCCGAAAAAGCTGGTTTGGTTTTCGAGCTTTCTAAATTTGAAAAAGGCATGCCAGGAAACCTAAATTGATTTTCGAGTTACTTTGAGTCCTGCGAACGTTTTCAGAGTTCAAGCAAGTTCCAAAAATAATTACTACAAAAACTGGAGAATAAAATTTGATTGAAGATTTTCGAGACCCAGGAATTCGAATCTGGTAATGGTATACTATAAGGCATAAAACTCAAAATTTTGAAAAACCGATTACAGATTCGGGTGTGGGTGTGGGTATGGATGTGGGTCGCTTTACACTAACACCCACACACCCACATCCACACCATTCAGCGAAAACAGCAACTGCCGTTTGACATAACAGTAGTAATGCATCTACATTTGGTGAAGGAATTCCTGATCTATTATTAGTTAGCAACGACAACTCGAACAATAACAGCTTCACTAATTTTTCTACCTCATACATTAATACAACTGGCAAGGATAACAATATTTTCACTGGATCTTATAACTTCACTACATCCGACATCGAAGTATTAAACTAATTTAGCTTGATATTCTATTATGTATGATTTTTTTATGCAAATAAACAGATCATCTAGCTTTCCTCACTTTATTTCAATTAACAGAGATATTATTCGCTAACTCAATTATCAAAAATGACTCAAGTTAAACAGAATAATGTCGCAATCAATGTTTTTATTTTTGCTTGAGTCATATGTTATTTTCATGTATGTTTGATTGTTTCTCATTCTCTTTCAGATAAGAAAGAACAAAAAACGGCATATATATATAAATATATATATATATGTAACAGTACTTTTTCGAATTTCATTTTTTTTTATTCTTTCAGTATGAAACGTTTTGTGTTGGATAGTTAAAATTCAATTTTAGATACAGTGCACTGAATTATTTTCAAAAAAAAATTCCATAACA